TATAAATGGCTAATAAGCTCATAAGTTCAACAGTTTCAGCCATAAGAGAAATGCAAATCAAAACTAATTCCATCTCACCCCAGTCAGAATGGCTATTACCAAGAAAACAAATAAGGAATGACGACACAGATAGAAATCTCTCATATGCTGGTGGTAGATATATAAACTAGTACAACTACGGAAATCAGTATGGAAGTTCATAAAAAAGCTAAAAATGGATCTACTTCATAACCCCACACCTGGTATATATCCAAAGCAATGTACATCAATATACACAAAAGACACCTTAAATACTCATCTAATCATCTAGCTGTAGTACACACTGTTCAAAAGCCAACCTGTGGAGTCAACCTAGATGCCCAACAACTGATGAATGGATAAAAATATGCGATATAGGCACAATGGAGTATTATTCAGCCATAAAAAGAATCAAATTATGCCATTTGCAGAAAAATGGATAAAACTCAAGATCATTATGCTGAACAAAAGTTACATTAACTTAGGCACATTTCCAACAAAATAAACATGGTGACCTGATCTCTGGACCTAGAGTGCTAAATCTTTGATACTACCTTGTAATACAACAAAGAATGTGGAATTTCAGCTTTTTTTGCTCTATTTGCTTCATAAAGATAGCCTAGTTCTTTAGGAGCTAGCATCTGAATATCAAAGCTTCACCACAATGGAAGTGAGGGAAATCATCGAGCTGCCTAAGACAGTACTTGACAGCAGAAGCTTTCATTCTTTTTTTTTCTTTTTCTTTTTTTTTCTTCTTTTTTCTTTTTCTTTTTTTTCTTTATTTTTCTATTATGAACATACTGTACAGAGGGGTTACAATTGCATGGGCAAGATAATGAGTACATTTCTTATCAAGCATTGCAGCCTCCTCCTTTGTTTACCCTTCCCAGCCCTTCCCAGCCTCCCTCCCCACCGCGCCAATTCTCCGCCCCCCCCCCCAACCAAAGTTGTAAAGTTCATTTTCAACATGACAACTTGTACTTCTCATTGTTGCAACGGGTCCACCTGTATCCTTAAATGACTTGTTTTTCCCCTTCTCCTCCACAAATTATACAGACATCAAATATAGTGAAAGCAGGGGTTATACTGTGGGGGAGGGACATACAAAGCAACAAAGAAATAATCTTAAAAATGCGTTAGAAACAAATGCATGAAAGAAAGAAGTGAAGGACCTTGATGATGAAAACTTTAAAAACTTGAAAAAGGAAATCAAAACAGAACTTAGAAAATGTCAAAACCTCCCATGCTCCTGGATTGGAAAGATTAACATCTTGAAAATGGCAATCCTTCCCAAGGCTATCTACAAATTCAATGTGATACCTATCAAAATTCCAACCTCATTCTTCAAGGAAATAGAAGAGGCAATCCAAAAATTCATATGGAACAATAAAAGACCCCGAATAGCAAAAACGCTCCTCAATGGAAAGAACACTGCTGGAGGAATATCAATACCAAATTTCAAACTCTACTATAAAGCCATAGTAATCAAAACAGCTTGGTACTGGCATAAGAACAGACCTCAGGACCAATGGAATTGAATTGAAAACCCAGAAATGAACCTACAGACCCATAGCCATCTAATCTTCGATAAGGGAGCTAAAAAATAGAATGGAAGAAAGACAGCCTCTTCAGTAAATGGTGCCGGCAAAATTGGTTAACTACATGTAGAAAACTAAAGCTAGATCCTTATATATCACCCTGCACCAGAATCAACTCCAAATGGATCGAAGCTTTCATTCTCATTCAGAGGTCTAAGCAAGTTCTCTGCAGATTCCTTTTTTTTTTTTTTTTGCCGGTCATGGGGCCTGAACTCTGGGTCTGGGCGCTGTCCCTCAGCTCTTCAGCTCAAGGCTAGCGCTCTACCACTGGAGCCACAGTGCCACTTCTGGCCTTTTCTGCTTATGTGGTGCTGAGGAATCGAACCCAGGGCCTCATGCTTGCAAGGCATGCACTCTACCGCTGAGCTACCTTCCCAGCCCTGCAGATTCCTTTTTAATATTAACACAGAGAGACGGATTTAAACAAATGATGCTGGAGAGGCTGGAAATGTGTGGCTCTAACCTCAGCTCTGGCATCAATGCCCTGGGGTTTCACCTGAATCATCCAGTCCTTGGAGCTGCCTAGACCATCCTGGTTTAAATGATCTGTTAGCACAACTCACAGACTAAGCACAGCTATTCTTTTTTTTTTTTTTTGGTCCAGTCGTGGGGCCTGAACTCTGGACCTGGGCGCTGTCCCTCAGCTCTTCAGCTCAAGGCTAGCGCTCTACCACTTGAGCCACAGTGCCACTTCCGGTTTTTTTCTTTTTGCTTATGTGGTACTGAGGAATCGAACCCAGGGCCTCAGGCATGCAAGGCAAGCGCTCTACCACTGAGCCACCTTCCCAGCCCCATCACAGCTATTCTTAATGCTGTGATTTAATAAAGCAAAAGGGTACAGAGGACAGGTGACAAAGGAAACTGGTGGCTGGGCAGAGAGAGCCCAAAGGAGACCAAGCACCAGCTTGCTAGACACAGGGAGTCACATAGCATAGTTTTCATTCACCCAGTTTAATGAGGTGCTGTCTAGCAGGAAAACTGCCTAGAGAACTCAGCACCCAGGATGTTTAACTACATACTGAAAACATGCACATGTGACCCCTGACTTGTACTAGAATTCCAGGCTCCCAAAAGGAAAGTAGGTACACAGACCACACAGCACTGTGTTGACAATCTGGACACAGTAGTAATCCTCTCCCATCTCACTCTTTGGGAGTTATCCAAGTTTCCAGATGCAAGCCAGGAGCCAGTTTTTCTAAGGAAGGGGTCTCAGGGCTGCTTCAGTAATTCTTTTCTCAATTCAAAATTCTCCTAGAGCGTGGTTTCACAATGTGATCTCCCTCTAATCTGCTACTTTGCTCTGCTTTCCTTCCCACAAGGCAGAGGAAGCCTCTGTGCAAAATGGAAACTGTACTGATGATAGTCATGGCCTGGGGCCACCATGAGCAACATATAGCCGGTGTGAGACCACTGCGGAGTAGGTATCACTTGCTCAAGGAGTTTTTCCAGGACCAATGCTGATTTCACTCTTTGAAACCTCACCCTCTTACTCATCTGTGCCCTCCAGTTTTCCAGAGACCATTAGTGGCTCTTTTTCCTCTTAAGTGCTCTCGCCACATATTTCTTCAGAGATCAGAATGCTGAGGTCCATCAACCACAGAAATAACACACAGGCCAGGTGTCCCTTATGTGATATGATAGGAACCAGAAGCACTTCCAGCTTCAGTTTTCCTGAACTCAAGAATATCTTGGAATAAATAACATCGAATTAGCCAGACCCCAAAGAAATTTAGGCCCCATAATTTCCCTCATTTGCAATAATTAGCATATGTATAGGATAATTTTATCAGATGAGCAGAAAAAGCTCAAAAGCTATGTTCATCTGACCATATAAGATGATGCTAAATGAAATAAACCCCAAGATACGGACACAAGAGGTTGTTGTTTTAAATATACTATGTGATTTTTTTTTGTTTCCTTTGTATGTTCTTCCCCCTAGTGTATATCCCCTGTTGTCACTGTACTTGATTTTGTTACCCTGCATCTTGTATATACATGTGTCTAATTTGGAGAGGGGAAAGGGAATAACAAAACGCTGAAACAAGGACAAAGGATGACCCAGTACAACAATGATACCCACAAGAGAGTACATCTGAAGTGAACTTTTACAGTTTCGGGGGGACAGTGGGGTAGGGAAGGGGGATGGGGGAAGGGATAGTGGGAGGATTAGGGAAGGGATAACAATGCTTGCCAAGTAATATACTCATTGCCTTATTAATATAACTGTAACCCCTCTGTATAGCATTTTTACAATAAAATAAAATTCAAAAAAAGAATATCTGCTGTGAGCTGAGAAAAACTTGCAGACTTCAGATTATGGAGGATTTCAGATTTGAGGATTGTCGATTAGAGATACTCCACTCTATCCTCATAGATCACCTTTTGTTAAATAACTGAAAGCAGTGCTATTCCCATCTAGTTCTCTGATGCAGAGCACAGGGGGCCATGGTGAAAATAACAATGGGGTAAGGTCTGACTTTCAACAAGGAAGCATATCCCCGTTCACTCACTCACAGAACCCCCATGTTAGAGTCTAGGGCCCACTTCCAGCCCACCAGTCTCACAACTGTTTCAGTAGCTATGCCCTATCCAGATGCCCAGGACTCTCTCTCTCTCTTGGAAAAGGATAGAGAAGATTAAAAAGGATTCAATCTTGGCTCAGACTCTTACAAGCTGTGAAATCTGTATATCTGGGCCCCTGCAGGTCTTCTGAACAAGGACAGACAAGCTATTCTATGAGTTATTCCTAGTCTGATTGCCTAGCAACTTCAAATTGCTTTTTCTCTTACAGGAATAACATGAATCCACGTGTTTATACTTCATTTGGTACTAAATTGATATTCAACTGTTTCCTGGTTTTTAAAATTCTGACTGTAAGAAAGAGTGATCTGTAGACTCAAGGTGTCTTGGGCATCAGCTTCTACACTTTGAAAATGACATGACTGAGCAGAAAACATTTCACAATGTCTTTCAGAACTATTATTCATGTTATTCCTTTCTAGAGGACACATTCGGGAATAGCTTTACTTTTCAAACAAATATATTGTAAACATCTACCATGCTAAGTGTTACACACCTAAGTGCTGTAACAAGAGAAACTATAAGGTTGAATGCTTCAACATCATTGCTTTTAAGGTACTTCTAAAATCATCCTGTGGCATGAGGTCAGACCAAATGTCTGGATGAAAAAGTCTTACTTCTAAGGTAATGGAACAGGAGGGGTTGGTCCCTGAAGTATGGTATGAAAAAGATCTCTAACCACCAATCCTCTGACCATGCGTTCTATGAATAAAATGACCAGATCAAAAGTAGTAATACAAACCAAGATGATACCTAAAAAAGAATAGGGAAAGAATAGGAAAACAGGAAGAAGTATGAACTCACCGGGACTGTGGCAATCCTTTTTTACTGAGATCTGCCCTCACACGTTCTCCTACATGTCTGTAAATTTCCACTAAGCTGTTTATTGCTGCATCTCGAACCTAGATGTAAAAGAAGAGATCTTACAGCTGCTCTGTGTCCAATTCCCAAGCACTTCCTGCTGAGACACACCAGGCTATATGCCACCCCATTTTACCACCAATTTACAAACACTGTGAATGCAATCTCGTACACAATGGACTAGGCAGACACACTGGAGTTTTTATTTGGCTAATAAAATCCCGTAAGGCAGAAAAGGCCCAGGTTCTTACCCTTTATTGGTGTTAAAATCCATATCCTATTCTTCGCATTGCTTAGGATATGATGTCAGAAAACCAGAATTTGCATACCATCTTTCCAAAGTTATAAGGAAAGGAGGTTAAACAGTTCCCCAGGTAACCCGGGCCCCCTGGAAAGACCCAGTTTACTCATTTAACCCTAGGGACAGAAGAGTTCAGGAAGCACAGGCTGTGCTGGAGGGGAGCAAGGTCCCAGCAAGGCCTGGCCAGCAGGAAGAAGGCGTCTCCTTGTGCAGTGGTCCACACCTTTCTGCTCCCTCTACATCCTGATCCTGCCAGTCTCTTTCTGAAGATCTACCTGTCTTCCTGGGAACTGGCAACATCTGGACCCAACCAGAATTATTTGTTGAAAGAAACCTTTGTGGGCACTTTCTGTTTATCCAGGACCATCTTTCCTTCCCCGCTCAGACTTCAGCTCCTGTAGCCACAAGCAGGGAAAATGTGCTTTTTATGAGATGCTGAACAAAGTTACAAAGTGGATATTTAAAAAGAAAAATAATTCTTTGCAATCCAAATGAATGAAGATCACTTGAAACATTATGTAATTGTTAGTTTTTTAGTACTGGAGAAGAATGTCAGGCCTCATATATCTCAGGTAATGTTTATTTTATTATTAAGTAGTTGTATCTTTTTTGTTCTTTTTTTTGGTCGGTTGTAAGGCTTGAACTCTGGGCCTGGGCGCTGTCCCTCAGCTTTTCAGCTCAAGGCTAGCACTCTACTACTTGAGCCACAGCACCACTTTTGGCTTTCTGGTGGTTTACTAGAGATAAGAGGCTGACAGACTTTCCTGCCCCAGGAACCATGATCCTGAGATTTCTCAGCCTCCTAAATAGCTAGGATTACAGCCATGAGCTATCGGTGCCCCACAAATATCTTTTTAAATAGGAACTTTTGGTATTCTATAATACACTGGGACATGATAAATTATACAGGACTCTCAGCATTCACACATGGTAAGACCAAAAGAGAATATTCTTAGGGGAGGAACACAAAGGCACAATGTCTATGTGCCTCTGATCATATAAAATAATACTGATTGAAATAAACTCTAGCAAATTGAAACCAAAAAAAAAAAAAAAAGCACGCCTAAATGTTTGCTAAAATGTGTGTTTGGTGGCACTGGCATTATGGGGCTGGACTGCAGGGAGATGGGGAGCTGGAAGAGAGGGAGGGAACCAAGGGGGAAACTCTAGCAGTGAATGAGAAACAATGAAGGCCTAGAATAGAAGGGGGGGGGGAGAAAGTTCTGTCTATCAGAAGGTTATGTGAATAAATTTGGGGCAAAGGAAATTGGACAAGTGGTGAAAGGGGAGGAAGAGGAGGTACAAATGGACAGGGAAGGGAAAGAGGAGGAAAAAGAAAAAAGGTCATAAAGAGAAAGGGACAGCCTGATTTTGCTAGGAAGGGCAGGATTTCATCAGATCTAGATGGAATGAGGCAGGTGCTAGGTTTCTAATGGGACACTTGAGCAAAGGCACCAAAGTAGGGAAATAGGGTATATGTTTCACGAATGCCAGGTGCAGCACTCTGGCCAGACACAAATATGAACTAAGAACGTAGCACAAAAGACATTTGAGAGGATGAACATTTTTCTTGAAGAAACCTGAATGTGGTCTATGTATTAAACAGTGTCACTGTATCAATGTTAGATTTGTTTCTTTTTTTTTTGGCCAGTACAGGGGCTTGAACTCAGGGCCTTGGCACTGTCCCTGAGCATCTATTGATTAAGGCTAGCACTCTACCACTTGAGCCACAGCATCACTTTCAACTTTTTCTGTTTATGTGGTACTGAGGAATTGAACCCAGGGCTTCATGCATGCAAGGCAAGCACTCTACCACTAAGCCACATTCCTACCCTAGATTTCTCATAGATATAGTAAAACCACATGTAGTTATATAAGAAAATATTGCTATTAGATGATACACATTTCCAAGAGTAAAAATATATCTGCGTATTATTTCAAATAGCTCAGAAAAAAGGCTATGTCTGCTGCTGGTAAGTGGTTCACTGAAATTACAGCTACTAAGGAGATTGAGACCTGAAGGATCATGATTCAAAGTCAAACTAAGCAGAAGCATCCCTGAGACTCCATACGTAATTAAGCAACAAAAAGCTGTGCTTAAGCCCAGCGCCGGTGGCTCATGCCTATAATCCTAGCTACTCAGGAGGCTGAGATCTGAGGATCACAGCTCAAAGCCAGCCCAGGCAGGAAAGTCTGTGAAACTCTTATCTCCAATAAACCACTCGAAAGCCGGAAGTGACGCTGTGGCTCAAGAGGTAGAGCACTCGCCTTGAGCTGAAAAACTGATGGACAGAGCCCAGGCCCAGAGTTCAAGCCCAAGACCAACCAAAAAAAAAAAAAAAAAAAAGCAAGTGTGGCTCAAGTGATAGAGTGCCAGCCTTGCATAAAAAGTAGGATGCCCCAGTGGTGCCAGAAGAAAAACAAAAGACTATGTCTGTAAATGTATGTCCATGTATACAAACAGAGGCAATAGATGAGACAAAATGTTAATAGCATTCATGATACTACTTGATTTTTCTGAAAGTTTAAAACTTTGCAAACAAAAAGGAAAAATTTTAATAGAGAATGGAATGAAAGCTAGGTAGTGTTGCACGGGAGGTGTCATTAACTCAGTAGGCAGAGATGGGGGAACAACATGAAGGAGACAGAGGTGGGCTACAAACAATTTACAGCTGGAACACTGCAGGCTATGCTTTGATTTGCAAGCATCCTATGATAGGTAACCTTACCATACCCCTTCTAGTAGGAAAGGTAAATCACAAGCCATATTGTCTCCTGAAACCTTATGCTATGGACTAATCTGTACTCACAAAATCCAAATATTGAGGCCCTAAGCCCCAATATGTGCAGATGGAGGTATGTGGATGAGGGTAATTGAGGATAAAGAAGGGCATAAAGGAGTACAGCCCTGAAATGAAAGGAGGAGTAAACTCAAAATAGACACAACAGAGCTGCAGACCCATGAAAAAGTCATAAAGGCTTACAGGGTGAAGGCAGCTATACACAGACCTGGAAGAAACCCCCATGCCAGAACCCTACTGTATCTGGGACTCTGATCTCACACTTCCAGCCTCCAGAACTGAAAGAATATACATCTCTATATATGCCCCCATACAATCTATGTTACTTCATAACAGTAGCCAGAGCTGACCAACAGAGATTATCACTTTATTTTAGAAAATATATCTTTTCTAATATTAAGAAACATTGCACATAGAAACATGAATAGATTACAAAGATAGTGTAATACGTGCAGTGTCTAGGCACAGTGTACCATCTCTGATTCCTCTATTGATAGCACTTGCTCAGCAGCTGGTGGAGGCCTCTGAAGAACCATCAGTATCAGCTACTAAGTAGTCTGGGCAATGAGAAATTAAATGAGAGAATTACAAGCTCCAGAGTCAAGGGAGACCTAAGACCCTAGTTGGCCACAAAGGATGCATGTGACCTTGAAAAAAACACTTCACTCTTAGTCTCAATGTCCTCTGGAAGCTAAGGGCAGCTCTGAGAAGTGAAAGAAATAATGAGTTCATTCAACAAATATATGAATGCTTTCTAGGTAAAAATGAACCCAAATGCCTATACAGGGCAAGTAGACCATAATAAGAGAATGGAGCAGACATGTGTAAAATGACATGGAAGAGACTCTCTGACTCAGAGCAATGGGAATGAGGAGGTGTAGACATACAGGCCCCTGCCCCTCAACTCAATGACTGGTCTTCTCTACATCTGATAAGGTAACTTCTTGGCCTATAAAAGAATTATTCCTCAAACTTAGAAAACTTAGAAGTAGTACAAATGAGCAGATTTTCTTTGGCACATCAAAGTCTCATGCTCCAAATGTGAAGAGGAGGTTAAACAAAAGTAATGCAGTAGAGAACTCTTAAGGCACAATAGCTGTAGCACATTGGCCTCACACTGGCTCTTCCTGATAAGCCCTCAGGCTCATAGCAAAAGGGAATCTCAAAATGTGAAGCCATTAGGGCTAGAAAGATAAGTACTTCATACAGGAGGCACTACTTGCCAAGACCACGTTGAGTGTTTTACAGAATCCAGAGTAGATAATGTATGATTATGCCCTTCCTTTCCTCCCTTTCTCTTTCTCTCCCTCCTTCCCTCCCTCCCTCCCTCTTCCTTTCCTCTCTCCCTCCCTCATAGGGCCTATTGGGACACAGGGAAGGCCAGGGGACTAGAGAGTTGAGTCTCCTGCTCTGGGGCCACTGATGTCAATGAAGAGCTAAACTGCCATATTTCTGGGCACAAGCTCATGCTTTCTCCCATGAGCAGACTACATCTCAACACAGGTTGATGTGAGGCCTTCCTGTGAAGTAAAACCTCACTGAAGGCTTCAGCCCTGGGCTGAGGGACAGGAAGCTGGTCTATAAACTATATAGAATCTAACCTAGTCATTCTAGATGCCCAGTTCATCTGATAGCCAGCTGCTTCAGCCAGTAGTGCCACAAGGCCCTGGTCTCAGCAAGGCCAAGCCACAGCACAGGTAGCAGGGCAGCGCAGCACAGATACTGTACTAGCCCTGGCAGAGCTTACCATTGAACACATACGATGAGATCTTTGAGGGTATGTGCCATACTCCCAAAAGGAGAAGCCCTGAAGGACAGGGGCAACCTCTGTGCTGCCTAAACCTGGCTGAGGAGCCAAGACCAGAAAGCTGAGGGTTATAGGGCAGAACAGAGGCTTTCCTCCCATCATACAGGGGGCTGGCTGCATTTGCTCCTGGCCTGCCCTGTTCTCACTGTCAGCACTTGAGGAACAGAAGCCTGCTCTCTGTAGCATGTGGCCATCACAAAGCCCTGGCCCCCTACTAGTGCCTGGGAATTTGGGCTGGTGTGTGACTGTTTGCAATGCCCCATTATAGAACCTAAAGGAGTACTGCGGAAAGGGTACCTCTGCTCTTGGAAAGTTACAGGAAAGGAACCCCGGGATATGAGAGAGTGACTGATTCCAAAAAGACAGTTACTAGGATTTGAAGTCTGGCCTTTTCTGGTTATTTTAGAAATGGAGTCTCATGAGCTTTTCAAAGCACAAGTCCCTGAACTTCAGCCTCCTGAGCAGCTAGGATTGCAGGTGTGAGACATCAGCACCCAACCTGAGTTAGACATTTCTTGGAGACTCTTGGAGTAACTTCAAAGACCAAAATATCACTGTTTCAAACTTCTAAATGTTAACATTCTACTCCCAAACCACTCTCCAAACGGACATGAAGTCTGGGACCTTCTAAACCGAGAAAGGCTGACACTATCCATCAGTGTGGGGGTGGGGGGTGTCCTGGGATAGCAAGATGTTTCCCTCTCCACGTCAGATGTACAGACCAAACAGGACACATCAGCTAGGTCTGCAGTAGGACTATACCAGATCTAGGTCCTGCCTCTGGATTGGGGACGGAGTGGGGGCGTTCACTGTCACCACACACTGTGGCTTGAATGGAGAGGCCTCCTCCAAGTCTTTTGGAGGATGGCACCCACTTCAGCTACAGAAACAAAGCTGAGAAAATAACAGCACACCAGTAATCTCCCCACTTGCCAAAGCCTAAGCACCCACCTGATAAGGCAGACCTGCAGAAACTTTCGTTTTTTTGGGGGTGGGGGGGGGGGGGTAAGGGGGGGAGAGAAAGGGACAAAAGGGTCAGAACAAGAGGACTGTGTGAATAGGTAACAGAAACATGTGGTGGAACACTGCAGTGGAGGTCCTGGGCCTTCCTAAGTCATCTGCTGGACAATGCCATGGTGTGACCCTAGATGGCATAGCGTGTTCTGTCTCCACAACTCAAGTACACTCAGAAGAAGCTAGCCCCCTACTTCCAGGTCTCATGGTTGCTGACAGGCCAGGAGCAGATATTCACTTCACCTATCTGGCAATCTAAATGATCAATAAAGAACCTCAATGAGCCAAAACAGCTTTTACTCTGCTCAAGGAACAGGCAGCAGTGGCATCCTAAATGTGGCTCCTATAAAGGAAATTTTTTTTCACAGAAGACAAAAACAAAGGCAAAAAAATCCAATACAAAAGTCTTCAGAAAAAAAATATTCAGGCCATTTTTTAAATTGATGTTGATTATAAAATAGGATTCAATAAGCAGAAATATCCAATAATTGTGTCTCAGATGTCCTGCGCCTTCCATGAACACTGGGTAAGAGACAAAGGGCAAATAAAGAAGGAAAAGCATGAGATTCCAGACAGGAGGTGAGAGGCACTGGCTGCTGGACTCAGAGCAAAGACGGGAAGAAGGACTGACAGGAGAGCAGGTAGGGCCTGGTGGGGACGGGGTGCAGGGGACCTGGTGTGGTGGCAGGGGGGAGGCTATGCCTGGTGAGGATCACGTGGAAAAGAGCTGACGTAACATCTTTGAGGGCAACTCAGCCATCGGGACTCTAAAGGGCAATGACTGTAGACCACTTCTACTTTTGTGAACTGAACTGAGTGAGAAAGCCGGATGCCTTGGAAGTCAGGAAGGGAGCATCCTCCAACTCTGTGATGGGTGGCCCAGGGCTGATGCCATGAGATGGTAATACCTGGTAGCCATGGGGCAGATGAGCAACCGTTCTACCTGCACACTAACGAAAGGTGCTTGCTTTTCTTTTTTTGCAGTTCAGGTATGATTTGCATATAGCAGAGCTCTCAAGGGTTCAGTTCAAAGATTTTCCACTATGACACACACAAGGGCAGCTACTACCCAAAGCAGAATACAGAAAAGTCTCCTCAAGTTCCTTTTCTAGTCAGTCTTTCCCCCAACCCCCCCACCCCCCTCTCTGCAGAGATGGTGGCCAGAGGGGCCTCTCCAGGAAGGCTGCTCTGGATGACATCTACATACAGATTAGTGACTGCCTGGCTCTCTATACAGGAGATGATTTGCTGATGATATTTTATCAGCTAACAGGCAGCTGACACCTTAGGCAATAATCAGAGCTCTAGAAAAATAAGTCCCACCACTTAGTAGGCAACTGAAGAATCTATAAACAGTGATTTCCCCCAGGGACTTTCTTGCTCACTTACCTGGCTATTTGGATCTCCAAGTAAATTACATATATGTGGCACAATCTTGCTTAGTGTTAGAGTATGTGCTCCAGAGCTGAAAAGAAAAGGAGTGCATTATTGTTAGCACAAAGGAAAGAAAGATGTCTCCTAGACTCTACTTGCCCTTCTTCCATGTCCCCAGGGCCCTACAATCTGTGTGCGTGCGTGTGTGTACGCGTGCACGCACACACACGCACACACACACACACACACACACACACACAAGGATCTTTCCATCCCATCCTGAAATAAATGTGCCTTGATGGCCCTTCTGCAGATTTGAAACCCTCCAGTGGCTTTGTGCCTTTAAGGCTGAGCCTGGAGCCCACTTTGCCTTACAGAGGCATTGGTCCACATCAGGCCACACTTCCTGTCCTGCTGGACTCAGGGGCCCCACCCAATTACAGCAAATGGCTGCAGGGTGTCTGACAACATCCAGCCCTGTTGGGGATCTTCATGCTATTCACATACCGTTTACCATCACAGGTATTGCTGCTGCAAACATTCTCAATTTATTATGTTTGTAAAATGGTGTAGACAACTCTGGGAAATAACCTGGCATTTCCCAAGGTGAGTATGTGATAAAAAGAAGTGGAAATGAAATCAGTCAGGTAGGAAGGGGCACAAAGGACGAGGAAGAATGATGGATGGGAAGACTGATGGAGATGCACTAGACACATAAATGAACACATTAAATTATAAGCCCCCTTTGTGCAACCATCTGAAAAATTTAAAACTATTAACGTTTTAAAAAGAAAGAAAAAAACTGGAAAAGGGCTTTCCATTGCATTCCATACAGAAACGCACACACGCATGTCTGTGACAGTGGGGGGGTGAGGGGGGACGACACAGAGAATACAACAATCTGAGAGAGCACCATGAACTATACTAACATGGCATTCCATACTAATACCTAGTGTTACCACTAGGGGACAGCACCTCCCAGCACATTTCTTCACTACTACCTTTATGATGATTTCTTCAAAGTAAAGAATCTTTCAAAAGCTTCAGCCAAGTAAAATGTTCAGGTCAGGCCCAGACTTACGCATTGAGTGTTGCAATAAGGCAGAGACAGATGCCTTCTCTCGTGCGGAAATTCTTGTGTTTGAAGCCTCCAAGCATTCTGTCCCATACATACTGCAAGTGACAAAGAATAGGTAAGAAGAGAGACTTTTGCAGCCCTTTGTTCAGTTAGGGGGTCAAAGGAAGGATAGCCTCTTAGCTGGAGCCAAACTGTTCCCATCCCCACCAATCATTTCCCAAAGTCTATTGAGAACTGATGATATAGATGGTTTTCTCAAACAGATCCATTAAAATGTTCAAACTCATACATTTATACAACCGTATTTCCCTAAAAGAGAAGTATAAGTGGTCCTTTCAGGGTAGGAAAGGAAATGCCATGCCATCTACGCCCACTACTCTCTGCCTGGAACAGCTCTCCCCATCACGCACCACAGTCCAGCACCCGCAGCTCTATCGTCTGCTAACTGCCCTAGAACTCCTAACAGCAGTCAGTGGGACCTTGTAAGTCAGAGATGCATCCATCCATCCCAGAAGGTGCACCCTCACAGCAGACAGGGACTAGGGGTCTGGCCAAACCTATTGGCTCCCCAGACGCCGCATCTGTCTCTTCAGAGAGCCAGTTACATAAATGAGCTAAAGAACCAAATGGATTGAACTAAGTCCTCAGTACCCAGGTTAAGTCCACTAACATTCAAATAATACTTTTTACTTATTTACCTTTTACTTCTCACATTGGGCAGCACGCCGATGTTATGATAATATTCATCTGTAATTCTTCAGCTTATGAGAAATTAAGTCTATGAAGACACACAGTTTTTGCAAGTAAGGACAAACCCTTAGGGCCCAGAATGCTTTCCTTGCCCTACCTGGGGATTAGCAGCTTGATCCATAATCTTTAGCAGCAAAGTTTGGTCTTGTTCCCTCACGGAATCTTTAGCATCTCCCAGTCTGTCTATTAGACTTGGCAGCACTGAAAATCAAAATGGAAATTGGTGAAATGGAAACTGATTCAGGGATCTATGTTCACCTGGCCTAACTGACGTAACTCATTCTAAAATCACCCATCCTTGCCCACAGCTTTTCTCTTCTTGCTGAAATCCTGTGCTTAACCACAGAAATCCACATCCTCTGCATAGGCAACTTGTCTCCTACTTGACCCCACTTTCTTCAGCCAGATCCCAATATGTTCATATTCATGTGGAAATATGATTGGAATCAACACAAAAGGAAACTGAAGAGGAACTGGGAGAGAAGCTCCAGCATATCTTAAGGGTAAAAGGAGTGAGGACTTAAGGACCAATCTACTGGCATCATGTGCTGTATAAACTGCAGCACATAGATACACACCAGATGGAGCCCTACTCTCCATGTCTGTTCCATACTCTGAAATATGGGGGTCCCATAAGTGCTCCAAAGACTACTGAACAGAGAGCACTTACTTGGTTTCTTGTGAGTCCATAAATTATAGGTGACATACCTAAATAATTCTGCTAACTGAACAAAAGTGAACTCTACTAGAATCTGAAATTACTAAAATTTTCTTTTATGGTTTACTATCTTTCAGAACACACTGACCAGAAAGCAATGGAAAAGGACAAACAAAACTAAAAGAATTAGAGAAATTCCAGCTGGGGCAATGGTTCTGTGGTAGGGCCTAAGAAACTGAGGAGATGATGGAGAATGAGGAAGAAGGGAAGGAACAAGAAAGGGAGGGCGAACAAAAGAAAAATAATGGAGAAATCCTTAATTTAAGGAAACGGTTGAACAAACACTTGCTTAGTTTGTATATTTTCATCATGAAATATGAAACTTCGATGATGTCTAAATTATCTCAATCTTATGGGATCTGGTTTCTCCTCTTTTTTCCCCCCTGACATATTGTTTTCCTTAAAATAATAATAAGGGTATTCTCAGCATGCTTGTAGCAGTGACATTTGCTATCGAGGAGAAAATACTCATGTCAACAACCATCATCTCATTTTTTTTTTTAAACAGGATTTCTCAAAGAAAATTGCCAAGCAATAAGGAAGGGTTTGGGTCATTCATGACTCAGTACTAAAAGCTGAAGGCTGATTTTCTGTATAAGACAAATAGGTAGCAATGCTTGGCACTGGAACACAGTTCCACCTTAGCCCTTAAAGGTTGGAAGAAAGCAGTAGTGACCTGCAGTCAGGCTACAGCCCAGGGCTGGGGGGGGGGGGGGGGGAGCAGAGGGGAGGCGGCCAGGCTGAGGGCAGGCAGTCTACACACCGCTCACCTGTGCCTATCTGCGCTTTGAATCGATCTTGCAGCCGGGTCACCAGGGCCGACAGGATGTCCATGCCCAGCAGAACCACCTGCAACGGAAAACACCGGAGGCGCATTAGGTACAGCCCGGGGCCGCGGCCGCCCACACGCGAGGGGGAGGAGGACGGCCCGCATGTCTGGCCTTTTTAGACTAAACTGAGAAGCAAGCAGAAGGGCGATTTGCACCAACAGAATAGTTTACAGTTTTAATGGAAAGCATTCGGTGCGATGGGAGGAGATGAAAAGGGGCCACCGGGCAGCAGCCCAATCCCTAGCGTGCCAGCCAATACAAGAGCGCGGCTTAGTTCCGCCACCCGTCGGCCACGCCCCGGTGAGGGGCGTATGCAAATTTTACTGCAGGCGGCGCGCGGTCTTCTGGGTAACACCAAGCCACCGTTACTAAGCTCCCTAGGGTCTCAAGGGAGATTAAAGACTTAGGTGGTTAGAGTTAGGAACGGAGATCGCTGGAGATACTAGCTACCCAGCAGGTTAGGATGGGACCTAGGAATTAGTCGCCACAACCTAACATAGCATTGGCGCTACTTGCTTGCAGCGCACGCATGCTCGCCCGCAACCATCCTTTTCTTGGGGTTGCGCTACTGTCCGATGAGCGTCTAGCGAGGGCAGTACTGCTAACACCTAAACAACACGTTCGCATCAGCTAAGGCTTTGCTTTATCTTGGTGCAATTTTTGGAAAAAAGAAAATCCTCTTTTTCCCCGCCTCGTGTGTTTTAAGAGCAGTAATCTTTGAGTCTGTTATATCTCTTCTGCAATGCCCTGCTTGCCCAGGTGGGGGCGCCGAAGACACAGTAAGTAAGCTGTCGGTTAGGCTTCATAACTAACCCCCCATTCTTCTACACAACTACATACCGACTCGACCAGAGAAGTGTGTGAACAGAGCAGTTAAAGCTTACAGGCCCCGGACTCCCGCTTGTGTAGGAAATAAGCCCACTGCTTCCAAATCCATTCAAAGTTCAGAGCGGTACAAGGCAGTGCCCTTACTTGGTAATAGTACTACAGAAAATAACTTTTCACTTTTAAGCCGTTTTTTAAGAAAAATTCCTCTATGGTTTTTTAAATGATTTTACCTTCGAACTAAAGAGCATTTAGTGCTCGACTTCCTTCCAAGTGTACAGTATGGAGGAGGGAGGAGCGATTCTGCAGCGGAGAAACCTGACAAACGGCCAGATGACCAAGGTCAGCACGGTCAATCACAATCACACTAGTGATGGATGCTTCATAGACTGGAATTGCCAAAGGCACCTGGTATGCTCGAAATAAAAAATTTTAAATCCTGAGGCTTGAACTCCGAGTCTGGGCACTGTCACCAGGCTTTTGTACTCAGGACTAGTTCTCTACCACTTCCAGCACTTTGGTAGTTACTTGGAGTTACTTGGATAAGAGTCTCACAGACTTTACTGCCCCTGTTGGATTTGAACCTCGATCCTCAAATTTCAGCCTGAGTAGCTTACTGGCACCTGGCAAAATAAACTTTTTGGATGGCAAGTGCTCTACCACTTATGCAATATCCCTAGTCCTACATAAAGCTCTAAAATAGGCAAAACTAATCCACCATAGTGTGAATTGGATCAGTAGGTGATAGCAGCTTGGTATGAAGAAAGATTGTCCGTAGAGGGCCTCTCCATGGGAATTACTGGAGTAAGAGAAACATCAGATATTCTCACTGGGTGATGATCACATATTCTTTCAAAAAATTCCCAGCCAAAGTATATATTAAGAGTCATATATTAACTGTATGTACATTTTGTTTCAATAAAAAAAATTAAGGTACTTTACTCCAAAGCCCATATGCTATATAATAATAAGAGAAACCCCAATAGATGGCACCTACAAAATACCTGACCTGCAAACTGTCAGAGTCAAAAACAAGGATAGCTAGAAATTATCACAGCTAAGAGGCACCAATGAAGACATAACAACTAGATACAATGTGGTATCCTGGATAGAATTTGGAGCTCAGAAATATGACCATTTTCCTCACGTAAAAACTTAGGAACCAATGTATGAACTGTCATTAATAACTTAGTTATGCTGGCTCATTAAGTGTAAGCCAACAGGCCAACCTCATGTTAGCTTTAATAACAGAGAACTTGAAGATCATCTGGGAGGGCTCTGTTCTATCTTGCTATGGGTGACACCCACCGGCAGCAGCAAGCTCTCGAGCATCCCAGAAGGCACATGGGTTATGCTCTGAACGAACTGACTCATACTCAAGAAAGAGAAGACTGCCATGTGGAGGGAAGCATGCCATCAGCCAGGGTACACAGGACACAGCATGGGGAGTGGACCAGGGGAGCAACAGGTGGTCCTCAAAAGAAACAGGTGACCAAAGACACTGGGGAGGTAGTGAGCAGTCGTCAGGGACCTGGGGCTTTTAGCCAGGACATGTGGCCACCACAGTCAGCTGCCCTAGAAGGAGGGAACAGGGCAAGAAGGTCAGGTGACCATGGCACACACAGCCATTCGTTACTGCGCCCATAACTCTCCCTGAGCCTTGAGTGCCTCCTCCACACGGTCTCTAATTACCTGTGCTTATGTTTAAGTCTTAAAGCTGAGGGGCACGGGGTCTTCCAATTCCTCAAAAGCAAAGTCCATGAATGAACTATCACGCTAGAAGTGAAGCTGTGACTCACATGGCAGAGCATCAATCAGCCTTAAGCAAAAAAACTAAGGGTCAGCATCCAGGGCCTGAGTTCAATTATCAGTACTGGCACAAAAACAAACCACTACCACCACCCCTAAGTTTCTTCTATACCTAAGATGATGACCATTGCTTCTCGGCCTTTTGGCTAAGATCAAGTGTAGTATCTGTTCTTATCAGTTTAATATCTGATACGTCCTCCATCTGAGGACAATATATTAAATGGATTTTTGGGCCTCGGAGATGCAATAGGAGCTTGCTCCGTCCACTCCACGCATCGACCTGGTAGAAGATGACATCTCAGGGAAGGGCCAGCAGTAAGGCCCCTTTTGCACTAGGTCATATATCCACTAGGAAGGACGCTGATGGTCACGTTTGATGACCTGAATCATCTAGGAGGATGAATGTGAGAATGAAAACCTCTCCCAAGCTGGTAGAGAAGAAACCCCTAGAACTTGGGCTAGACACCCACGTATCTATTCCTCAGCACCTAGGTGACCCAGAAATGCCCTAATTCCTCACATCCAATTAAAATGGTCTTGGACCATGTATGGCCTGAAGCTCTACAAGATTAAAACCTAGGTCAGTTCTGGCTGGGGAAAATACTACCCTAGCCTAGTACTCAACTTATTTCTGTGAACAGTTTTTCAAAGATAGTATGCAAATCGTGACCAAAGGTAATGGAACGCAGGACAACATAATTAAGAACTAACAGAAACAAAGGCTCATCTGAACTGAATGTAAGAATAATTAGACAACAATTCTCAAGGTGTCTAAGAAGATAAAACACATGATTCAAATTGGGGAGAAAAAAAACAGAGTTTGGAAAACTATATAGACATGGGCGGCAGGGGAGGGAGGGGGGGACGGGCAGGGACTGTGGAGGATATGAGTACTAGGGCTTGAACTCAGACTTCAGCACTTGTCCCTTAGCTTTTTCTCTAAAGGCTGGGATTTTACCTCTTGAACCATATATCCACTTCCAGCTTTTTGAAGGCTAATTAAAGGTAGAATCTCATGAACTTTCCTGCCTGATCTGGTTTTGAACTTCAATCCTCAGCCTCCTAAGTACTAGAAATATAGGCATGGAACACTAGTACCAAGCTACTCAGACTCTTTTAAAGAACCATTTTATACAACAGATAAAATTAAGTACATAGGCTGAGCTCTGGTGGCTCATGCCTATAATCCTAGCTACTCAGGAGGCTGAGCCGAGGGTGACAGTTCAAAGCTAGCCCAGGAAGGAAAGTCTGTGAGACTCTAGTCTCCACCAAACTACCAAAAAAAAAAAAAAAACAGAAGTGGAGTTGTGTCAAGTGGTAGAGAACTAGCCTTGAGCAAAAGAAGCTCTGGGACAGCACCAGGCTCCAAGTTCAAACCCTAAGACTGGCACTACAAAAAAAAAAGAAAAAATTAAGTACCTAATGAGCCAGGCTTTGTTTAAAGTGCAATGGATACAGATGAAGAGAACATGAAGTAGAAAAGTCCACAAAGATCCACAATAAAGCACAGTGAGGCAGAGATGGGAAGTTCAAGAGAGTAGGTAAAAGAAGGGACAGAAACCAAACAACATAAGACTAAAATGGAGCTGATTGCTAGTATGGCTCACACCTGTAATCCTACTCAGGAAGATGAGATCTGAGGATCACGGTTCAAAGCCAGACCAGGTAGGAAAGTCTGTGAGATTCTTACTTCCAATTAACTAGCAGAAAGCCAGAAGTGGTACTATGGCTCAAGTGGTAGAGTGCTAGCCTTGAGTGAAAAAGCTCAAAGACAATGCCCCAGGCCCTGAGTTCAAGCCCCTTGACTGACCAAAAAAAAAACTAAATGGAATTGAAAAAGAAGTTAGAGACAACAAGTATAAAGTAACAGCTGGCTGTCTTTAACATGACTATTAAAAAAAAAGAGAAAGAAAATGACATGTGGCAATGAAAGTGTCCTGGGAACCTGTGTGGACTACTAGAAGTATAGAATGGGATCACTGGGAAATATGATAGCTCCTCAAAGCTCAAGCATGTGACCATAGGATCGAGAAATTCCATTTCTGGGCATTTATTCAAAGTGGAGAAGGCCAGGTCTTAGCGGACGTTTGGGCACTAATGTTCCTAATCCCATTCGCTTTAACAGCTACAAGTGAACAACCCCAGTGTGTACCAACATTACAATGCAGCATCATTTGGTCTTTCAAATAAAAAAAACAAGTTCTTGTGCAGCAGACACATTATCTACATTTCATTTTCTGCTAGTTTGCTTATCCAGTCACCTGTGATAAAAGTTCCATAAATAAAGAATACATTTTATGTTGTTCACTTTTCTGAACAGCATAATAAACTGTCACACCATCTGCTTAGTCCCACGCAGGACAAGAATCATACCTTTGGAATAGA